GCTTCCACAGCTCATGAAAAACTTCCATAGACCAGAGAGAGCTTCCATAGATAAGGAACAGCTTCCAAAAACCAGGAAGTTTCCATAGACCAGGAACAGCTTCCATAGATTAGGAACAACTTCCACTGACCAGAGAGAGCTTCCATAGATAAGGAACAGCCTCCAAAAACCAGGAACAGCTTCCATAGACCAGGAACAGCTTCCAAAAACCAGGAACAGCTTCCATAGACCAGGAACAGCTTCTAAAAACCAGGACCACCCGTACCCACCCCTCCACCATCCCGGCTGCTCCAAAGGCTCTTTCCCGCAGGTGCTGATCTGGAACCTGGACATCGGCGAGCCGGTGAAGATGATCGACTGCCACACGGACGTGATCCTGTGCCTGTCCTTCAACACGGACGGCAGCCTGCTGGCCACCACCTGCAAGGACAAGAAATTGCGTGTGGTGGAGCCGCGCTCCGGCAGGGTCCTGCAGGTGGGACGGGAAATCCTGGCCCGGGGGGAGATTTTGGGGAAGGATCCCCTGGAATGTCGGGAAAAACAAAAAAAAAAAACAAACAAGAAAAATCCGTGAAGTGCTGTAGGTGCTCGCAGGTTCCCAGGATGGTTGTGGAGATGGTGGGAAGGGCTGGGACTCATCCCGAGTTGGAGGCTTTGATTCTGGTGTTAATTAAGGGTTTGTGGAAAACTTTGGGAATAAAGGGGAAGGAGCCGGAGAAGGTTCAGAGTTGGAGGCTTTGATTCCGTTGTTAATTAAGGTTTTGTGGGAAACGTTGGGAATAAAGGGGAAGGAGCCGGAGAAGGTCCAGAGTTGGAGGCTTTGATTCCGGTGTTAATTAAGGGTTTGTGGGAAACTTTGGGAATAAAGGGGAAGGAGCAGGAATTTGGAGGAGGTGGTTTCTCCCTGATCCTCAGGAAAATGGGAATTTTGGCTTGGCCAGGGCCAGGTGCTGAAGGACAGAGCTGGAATTTCCCCAGGATAAGGCGAGGGGAGCAAGGAAAGGGTTTTCCTGGGATGAGAGCTGGATCCAAGGGGAATTCCAGAGCTCTCTCCTGTCTTGCAGGAGGCCAGCTGCAAAAACCACCGCGTCAACCGCGTGGTTTTCCTGGGAAGCACCAAACGGCTCCTGACCACGGGAGTGTCCCGCTGGAACACCCGGCAGATCGCCCTCTGGGACCAGGTGGGTGCCAGGATCCCGCTCCATTCCCGCTGGAATTCCTGCTTCATCCCTGCCAGGATCCCTGCGCCGTCCCTGCCGGAATTCCTGCTCCATCCCTGTTGGAATTCCTGCCAGAATTCCTGTTTCATCCCTGCCAGGATCCCTGTTCCATATCCACTGGAATTCCTGCTCCAACCCTGCCAGGATCTCACTTCATCCCTGTCGAAATTCCTGCTCCAACCCCACCAGGATCTCGCTCTATCCCTGCTGGAATTCCTGCTCTATCCTTGCCCAGACCCCTGCTCCATCCTTGCTGGAATTTCTGCTCCAACCCCACCAGGATCCTGCTCTGTCCCTGCCGGAATTCCTGCTCCATCCCTGCCCAGATCCCTGCTCTATCCCTGACGGAATTCCTTCTCCACCGCCACTGGGACACGGCTAACCCCAGGATTTTCCTGTTTTCCAGGAGGATTTATCCATGCCCCTGATCGAGGAGGAGATCGATGGGCTCTCGGGGCTCCTCTTCCCCTTCTACGACGCCGACACCCACATGCTGTACCTGGCTGGGAAGGTAGGGATGCACGGAGAACCCGGATGGGGCATTCCCAGAAAATCCCACAGCACTGCCCAGGGACTGGGGCTGGAATTTGTATCCTGGAATGGTTTGTGTGGAAAGGGAGCGTCCAACTCCTCCAGTTCCGTGGATGTTCCTGCTGTGGGAGTCATTCCATTATCCCAGGCTGCTCCAAGCCCTGTCCAACCCAGAACATCCCAGGGATCCAGGGGCAGCCACATCTTCTCTGGGAATTCCAGCCCCTCCCAGGGAACAATCCCATCGCTCCCTGCCTTCTAAATGCTCCTAATGCTGCTTTTCCCCACTTTCTCATTTCCAAATCCATTCCCATCCCTCTTCCCTGCTGCTCCAGGGCGACGGCAACATCCGGTACTACGAGATCGGCTCGGAAAAGCCCTACCTGAGCTATCTCATGGAATTCCGCTCCCCGGCTCCGCAGAAAGGGCTGGGTAAGGATGGAGCTGCCACGGCTCCGCTTCCCGGAGAACGGAAAAGGTGGATAGGGAAGGTGCTGGATTGAATGGCACAAGGAAAAGGGTTTGGGTTGGGTTTGGGATTGGATTGGGATTGGACTGAGTTTAGATTAGGTTTGGATTGATTTTGGGATTGGATTGGGTTGGGGTTGGGTTTGGATTGGGATTGGGATGGGATTGCGATTAGGTTTGGGATTTGGATTTTCCATGCTGGAATTTCCTGCATGGCTGATCCCAGTGCTCTCCGGTTTGGGATTTTTCCATGTGGGAATTTCCTGCATGGCTGATCCCGGTGCTCTCCAGTTTGGGATTTTCCATGCTGGAATTTCCCGGATGGCTGATCCCAGTGTTCTCCAGTTTGGGATTTTTCCATGCTGGAATTTCCCGGTGATGATCTCGGTGCTCTCTGGTTTGGGATTTTCCATGCTGGAATTTCCCGGTTGGTTTGGGATTTTTCCATGTGGGAATTTCCCGGTGATGATCCCGGTGCTCTCCGGTTTGGGATTTTTCCATGTGGGAATTTCCCGGTGATGATCCCGGTGCTCTCCGGTTTGGGATTTTTCCATGTGGGAATTTCCCGGTGATGATCCCGGTGCTCTCCGCAGGGGTGATGCCGAAGCACGGCCTGGACGTCTCCGCCTGTGAAGTTTTCCGGTTCTACAAACTCATCACCCTCAAGGGGCTCATCGAGCCCATCTCCATGATCGTCCCGAGGAGGGTGAGTCCTGGAATGTGGGAATGAGCGGGATCCGGAATGTCCGGGCCGTGGACATGCCCCACTCCAGCCAATCCCATGCACGGCTCTGTTCCCACCATCCCTGGACCTCTCCATCCTTACTCATCCCACGGAATTTCACCCCCAGTTTAACGGGAATGTTTCTCCAAGGGGTTGGTCTCAACCCCAAGGGGTTGGTCTGGGAGTTTTTGGGAAAATATCCTTTGGATCAGGGTTTTCTGGGAAGCAAATCCAGCTGCTTGATGGAGGACACAATCCCAGGTTCTCTGCTCCAGCCAGCACTTCCCAAAATTCCTCCCTGTGCCCGGAGTTTCCCAACTATCCGGGTGTTTATTCCCTCTGTGGGGGAGGGAATTATTCCCCCGTGCCCAGGGAGAGGATTCCCAGATCCCACTGCTCTTCTCTTCCCATTTTCCCAGTCGGAGACGTACCAGGAGGACATTTATCCCATGACTCCGGGCACGGAGCCGGCCCTGACCCCGGACGAGTGGCTCAGCGGGGTCAACAGAGGTAAAGGCACCGGGGGGATATCCCAAAAATATCTGGGATGTGGGAAGGGTCAACACTGATCCCGCTGATCCGCTGGCTCTCCCGCAGATCCCATCCTGATGTCACTGAAGGAGGGATACAAGAGGAATTCCAAGATCGTTTTCAAGGCGCCGGTGAGGGAGAAGAAGAGCGTGGTGGTCAACGGGATCGACCTCCTGGAAAACGTCCCGCCCCGCACGGAGAACGAGGTGGGGCAGGCCTGGAGTGGGAATGGGAATGGGAATGGGAATGGGAATGGGAATGGGAATGGGAATAGGAATAGGAATGGGAATGGGATCTTTGGGATGGGAATGGGATCTGGGGGATGAACCTGGAAAGGCACCGTGCTGCCAGTCTCCATCCCAATGGAAGTGAGAGCGTGGGATCCCTCCAGGAATGGGAGCCTGGGATCCATCCCAAGACTCTTTTCTGTGGTGGGAATGTGAGATCCATCCCATGGCTCTCTTTCCATGGTGGGATCCTGGGATTCATCCCATGACCCTTTCCCATAGTCAGAGTGTGGGATCCATCCCATGACTCTTTTCCATGGTGAGAACATGGATCCATCCCATGGTGGGATCCCAGGATCCATCCCACGACCCTTTCCCATGATGGATACCTTTTCCAGGGACACCTCCCACTATCCCAGGCTTCTCCAACCTGGCCATGGGCACTTCCAGGGATCCAGGAGCAGCCACAGCTTCTCTGGGAATTCCAGCCCAGCCCCTCCCCACTCTCCCATCCTTCAGTTCAAATCCACCCCTTGTCCCCAAGATCAGCCGAGTTCCGGCCCATTCCCAGCACGGATCTGCCGAAATCCCGGGATGAGCTGGTGTGATCCCACCAACTCCGCCCTTCATCCTTGTTTTCCAGCTGCTCCGGATGTTCTTCCGGCAGCAGGACGAGATCCGGCGGCTGAAGGACGAGCTCTCGCAGAAGGACATTCGGATCCGGCAGCTGCAGCTGGAATTAAAGAACTTCCGGAACAGCCCCAAGAACAATTGACTCCAGGGACGTTTTCTAAAGAAATTCCTTTGTTTCTACTCCCGAATTCCTTGGATCCACTCACCCAGAACACAATTCCGGAATCCGCGGCTGCCGAGAGCCTGGAATCACGTCCTGTGCGTCTTGTCCGGCACTAATCCCGCTCTAACCTGATTCCTGGGAAAGCCTGGAGGCTCCCACTAAGTCGGAGCCGTGTCCTGTCCGTCGGGATGAGCCAGCCCGGGGCGGATTCCCGGGAAAGCGCCAAGCTTCCTTGCTATTAATTTTTTTTCCTATGCAAAAATGTGACAGCAGGAGCGGAACTGGAAAAGGGGCAGGAAGTGGGAAGGGCTTGATCGTCAAAGGGGGTGGGAATCTGGGATCCTTCCCGTGCTGG